TTGGATAAGCTTGGAGTTTTGGACCTTTCTTACAACCAGCTATCTGGGGACCTTCATTATCTCACCGAACTTCAAAATCTTGTGGTGTTGAATGTGTCAAATAATCAGTTCTCGGGACATGTGCCTGAGACGTCATTCTTCGCCAAGCTGCCACTTAGCGTTCTAGCTGGCAATCCCGAGCTGTGCTTTTCGGGTAATGCGTGCTCTGCCGACAAGGTTGGCGCCACTAAACACGCGGCCAGGGTGGCAATGGTGGTGTTGCTCAGTACTGCATGCGTCCTACTATTGGCTGCACTCTACATTATCCTCGGAGGCAAAATGCGGGGACGTGGTGCCCACAATTCTGATTTGGACAGCGTCGGCGATGTGGAGTTAGGCCCGCCATGGGAGGTCACAGTGTACCAAAAGCTTGATTTCTCAATTGTTGATGTGACCAAGTGCTTGACAGCTGTCAATGTGATTGGTCGCGGTCGATCGGGCATAGTTTATCGAGCAAACATTCCATCAGGATTAGTTATTGCTGTAAAAAGATTCCGGGTATCGGAAAAGTGCTCTGCATCGACATTTTCGTCTGAGATTACAACGTTAGCTCGCATTCGACACCGGAACATCGTTAGACTATTAGGTTGGGCAGCTAACCGGAGCACCAAGCTATTGTTCTACGACTACATGCCTAATGGTACATTAGGTTCATTGTTGCACGAGGGATGTGGAGGCGTACTCGAGTGGGAAACTCGTTTCAATGTTGCTCTAGGAGTGGCAGAGGGTTTAGCCTACTTACACCACGACTGTGTGCCCCCGATCCTCCACCGAGACGTCAAGGCACACAACATTCTCTTGGGGGATCGGTATGAACCATGTATGGCTGATTTTGGGCTTGCCAGGTTCATCGAGGAAGAAAATGCTTCATTTTCAGCAAACCCCCAATTTGCTGGATCATATGGCTACTTTGCTCCTGGTATATTTTAAATTAACTATAACTTCTGTTACTTGTCTAAATCCAAGTTTATATCTGGCATGAAAGACTAAAAATTGTTTCTTTTGGTCGTAGAATATGCTTGCATGGTCAAAATTACTGAGAAGAGCGACGTCTATAGTTATGGAGTCGTGTTGCTAGAAATCATAACTGGAAAGAAACCAGTTGACCCATCATTCCCTGATGAACAACACGTGATTCAATGGGTTCGGGATCACCTAAAGAGTAGAAAGAACCCTGTTGATATCATTGATCAAAAGCTTCAAGGCAATCCAGACACACAAATTCAAGAAATACTCCAAGGCCTCGGAATAGCCCTACTCTGCACCAGTAACCGGGCAGAGGATCGCCCAACAATGAAAGACGTCGTGGCCTTATTAAAGGAAATCCGGCATGAGCAGACTACAGTAAGTGAATCCCACAAGACAGCCAGCATATCATCTAAAATCTCCAAAGTTCCATCGAATTCATCCCCATCAGTGACCCCAGCTCAGTTGCTCGTGCAAGGGTCGTCTAATTGCTCGTTCACTTACTCCTCTTCCTCAGCAAGTTACAACACAGTACATCAATAATTTGTGCAATGTAACATTAAGAGTAGAACAGCACTGTAAAAAGTACTTCTAAGTGTTTAGGTTCAGCCGAGTGTATAGCAACCTAACAAAATTAGTTCTATCAAGTGGATGAGTCTGTGATTTAATTACAACGATCCAACTCTTTTGTTGCCTATTCAAGCATTTACACAATATGCTAACATTAATTCTTGTGTGTAAGCTGTGCTTATTCAAGCATTGTATTGTTATTTTATGCCCAATCAAAATAACCTGCCACATGGTACACAACAACCGAAAAATATCGAGCTGACATGGTGAGGAGAAAAAAAACACGAGCGTTAACAAAAGACTTCTTTGCCCTCTAGTCAACGAAGTCAAAGACATGTTCATGTCCAAAAGTTCAACAAAACGCACTTAAAGAAAATAGTTTAAATGTAAATATCCCAAGAACGCCAACTTGAGACGCTAGAACACAAAACTTGAAAGCTTAAACTTAGCTTGATTGTTTAGAAAACCCCATCTTCTAAACTAAAAAATTATAGTACTAAATCGTTATGCGTTTCTTTCACTCATACAATAACCAGATTTTTTAGTGACCTCCCAACATAATCTGACATAGACAACTCTCTTTCTTAAGTACATCTTATTTGAAGAAGAAAAATATTTCCCAAAAATTCAATTCACAATTAATGCATTCAGAAATACATGTGCTTCTAATTATCCACCTCATATTGAAAAGACTAGTCCCATGTGCATGAGTGTATAGGATATCAACCTTTAACAGGTTGCTTTGTGCACGAGCTCTTATCTATCATTTTATATGAAAAGGGATTCCAAGATGTCTCGATGGGGGCATTTGTACCCTTTTTCTCTCTTCTCAAAATTGTTGACGATTTCGAAGATAATCTCTCTCTCTCTCTCTCTCTGGGTAGAGAGATAAGTTTACGTGTGGTTGGATTTTGGGGTTGGGGCAGGCAGGGACAGACCATAGTAGCCAAGTCTCAAGTTCATCCCAATTTTTTAACTTCATTATATGGGTTCAAACGTAATAACCTTAAAACTCTATGTTGACGTATTAGAAATTTTAGTACACCTTAATATGCAGTTCCGACTCTACCTTTGGAGGTGGAGGAGCGGACGGGAATGACAGAATGATTGATTGAACGCGTGAACAATTCAACCCATCTCCTAACCCATTATATGTCACTTTTCTTGTTTCATAATCATACAAGATGAGAATGTGCTTCTTGCATTCCATGTTAATCAAGGAGGACCCCCACTACATAATAAAGGTGCGTACTAACTAGTACCTATTTAAAAAATGAAATACCTCTTATATCCTCTTTCCAATTCCTTGCTAGTCTATTTATTGCGGCTTTCTCCAACCCTATGGAATAAAATATGAAAATAAAAATAGTTGTGCAGGATAATGTGGTCACTTTAACATTATCCTTATCCCTTCTAGGATCGTCCATTAGCAAGATTGAACCTAGATATGACAATGGCGATGCCTTGAAACAAAGTGGCCACCGAGTCAACTTTTCATTTCCGTCATGCTCCGTGTGTTATGGCCTCTAATGAAGATAAATAACATTATTACTTTGTTTACTCATTTGAGTTTTTCTTGTCAACAAAAAGTACTCAATGAACGGTGTGCTATATGTATATAATATGTTTACGTACATCATGTGGTGGAATATGATTGTGTCAAAAATGTTGAATTATTACTTATATAAAAGTAACATTATTTTTTGGTTAATATCAAAATTTTTGGGCCCGCTTTTAGACATGATTGGCCCTAAAGACTAGAGCCGTACATGCATTTTTGTGGGGGCTAGAGTGAAGGACGTCATTGCATACAACAAAATATTGGTTTGGTCTCACGTGAAGAGCGCACGTGCAAGTACACACATTTACCTCCTTTTAAGTGTAATCGAAAGCCCACGTGACTAAAATCTGGATGTACAACTTTTTGATGCCATAATATTAACAAAGAGACAGGAAAGGATGTAGAAAAGATTCCCAGCTCCAATAACTGATGAGGACATTCCTTATTGGGCCGTTTGTTTGGGCCATTTACTTATGTTTTATATCTATTTATTTAGACTTTATGTTTTATTGGATTTATATGTGTTTGGTCTAAAACCCACAATTATTAGGTTTATTTTTGTTATTTATACTAGTGGTAGATTGTGCGTTGCACGATGACTGTTATAATTTTGTAAAAAATATCATTATAATGGTTATCTATTTCAAAACAGGTAAATATTTTATTATACAGCATCAATAATTTGAATAAATGGGTCTATGAAATGTTGGTACATATGGATAATCACCTTTATATATTAAATTATTCACAAATGGTTCACATAATTATGGGTCTAATCATGAAACAAAATTATTCATATGATGAAATACATGGCTTTAGGGTAGTAATGCATGGAGCGGTTCAACCATCACGAGCCTATAGGTTTGGTTGAGTAGAGCCAAGATATGATCGGCAAATGAAGTTCATTGACTTGGAGAGCTGGCCCTACTCACGTTGATATAACTAATATGATGTAAACATTAAGTGCATTTTATCGTCATATAAACATCTTGGGCAAGAATTTTTTGGTACATGAATGCAAGTTAAATTATGAAAACTAAATTAATCAACTTGCGACCATAAAAATTGAAAAAAAGAAGGGAAAAGCCATAGCCAAAAGCATATAATGATCAGTGTAGAACGGGAAAAACTCAAAACGTCAAAATGCATTGTTGCGAGATAAGAAGTATAAGAGGCATTAAGCACAGCCACATATCCTATGGTGCGGAATCATTCAAAAATTGCTTACTACATACAAAGAGGCTGTGAATGATTGACTAGTAGAACCAGCTCTAGAAGTCTATACAGAAATCCTCAAGTGCAGTGCAATTTAAAGAAACATTCTATTTATCAATGTGAATAGGGCCATATATCCTTACTGTCAATTCAAAGAAACATTCTATTTATCAACGTGAAGATATTCCAAAACCTTCAGAATTTCTTTCAAGATAGACCCAATGGCTAACTCTACGAATTCATTAGGATATGTTATCTTCATGAGATGTAGGCAAGAACCACTGGCCATAAAAGGCATTATCACCAAAAGGTGCCCCGGGGCATAGTCCAGTGGTTCAAGGACAGAAGTGAAGTAGTCTCAACCTTGCTGACAACCGCAGTGTGAGGGTTCAATTCTCGAGATATGGAATTGGACTCTTTGTGGGCACTAGTGTATGGGCAAACTCTTGTTTCCTGGCCTGCTAGGGCACATTCCGCGATTTACCTCCCTCACGATACTCCAGAAACGGGGGCAGTGGAAGCCCTCAAGGTTGGGATTCAACCTTCATTATCACCCAAAGGTTGTAGTTGACAACAAAAGAACCAAATGCTCTGATCACATTAGGATGATTGATTAAGCTCAGTTTTTGAGCTTTCCTCCGAATAAAAATACGACCAAAGCTACTCAACATGTTAATTATTTTGATGCAAAGAATTTGACCGTGAACAAAGAACCTACAAAGAATCAGTTGCGGCTAACCATCCAACAGGGTCACATATGGTAAATTAAATTGCAACTCCTACACTCATTAAAATTTTTTTAGTGAGAATTCTACGTATGTTATGCCATTTACTTTTATTGGATCACAAGATAGTTTCTCATGTACGAATGTGCTGTGTGATTTAATCATACAATAGATCCATACATGCAGAACCATCTTGCTCACTGGAAATTTTTTTAAACAACATAGGAATTGGAAGTGAAATTGCCACTGGTGACCCTGTCGGAGTGTTAACTATAACTGTTAAATATGAATGACGAACTTTATGAACAGAATTCGTATTAGAAATGCATCTATAGTTATTAAAGGAGCAAATGAAAAAAGAAAAATTGTAACTAAATTTACGTATAAGGCTATACAAGCATAAAACAAACTTTGTTATTAAAGTTCCACCTTCCGTTTCCAGCATATATATCATTTGGGTACCCAACTGTCAAATACAGATTGATGATTAAAGATTAGTTGTAGCATTCTTACAAACATCAAGAAAGCCAGATTTTAGTATAATTGATTTGTAGATATACAACTCACAATCCCCGTTATAATTTAAGAAGTTCATCTTGTAAAATTTGTTATTTGTCTAAGGACTGAAAAATCAGTAGGAAGAATGTATAAGAAAGAAAAGTATTTGCCATCAATACACAGCCACAATGAGATATAGTAACACATTGTAACAAAACCTCGGGAAGTATGTAATCCAAGATTAATATTCAAAAGGAAGTGTCAATACCTTCCCTTTCTTGGTGAGCGTGAATGGACTCGATCTGCTGAATTTCCATCCGAGGAAGGTACAATCTGTGCAATACCAATTTACATCCAGCCATCGAATGACAGAGTGAGATGAAAGAGATGAAGAATGCTCTTTTGCCTAATAATTCTGATGGCACTCCATTGATGAACAACATATCAAACATTAGATTTATCCAGAAGCATGAAAAATATAACTGGAACCAGAAATGTGAAGTCAAGACGTTGACAATTTCAGATAATCCTTTTTTCTGGGTTGTGTGCGAAATTCAACATGTAAGACAAAAACGATAATAATTGTTACGTGTTGACACATTTGGCCAACCTACTTCTCCGGAATCACGTGGCATCTTATCCGATGCCCCCAGGCCAAAAGGAGTTGACCAGTATACTATAACAACACCAGACGTGACCCAAGTGCTGACGCCGAAGTTAATATGCCGAGGTGATCTTGTAGCCGAGGCCCTTCCCTCCGAGGCCCAATCTTCTCCGAGGTCCTGAGGCTTTAAACAACACTCCTCCCCAGAGATCCGGTTATACACAAGGATCCTTCTTGATTGATTGATGGGACACACATCAGAGTGCAAATGTCTTGTCTTGTCTTATCAATGTAATGGCAGAGCTATCGATTAATAAATGTATAGCAGACTATGAAGTCAAATATGATACCTATAATTTGACATGTAGACTTACGAGATGAGGCCACGTGTACTTCCAACCAAATGCCACTATCTAAGTTGTAATACTATAAATACTCCTTTATGCATCTCTCATGAGGAGATGCATGGGGGTAATGCAAGATTCAACACAAGAACAAATATAACATTCTTTACATTTTACTCTCTTGCAACACACACGAATCCATACACGTATTCTACAAACATCGATTGGTAATTATTGTACAATCGTTATGCAAATATTTCGTCGGATTCCGAACATTCTCGTCCCGCGTCTTTGAGTCTCTCCCACGCCCCATTTTACTACTAGTTCTAGACCGTCCACGTGTCTTAGCGTGTTGGATCAGGCTTACGTGTGCCCGGGTGGATCCGATATTTGTTGGCAATATATTCTGGGGTCAACAGATTGTCACCGTCTGTAGAAAATCATACTATAACCACGAGCAACCATGTGGAGAAAGCTTATCGAAAAGAATATTTGGACATCCCGCTTGAAAAAGGATTTGTTCCTGGAAAAGAACAAGTGGAAGCCCCATAACTTGGCAACAATTTGAAGTTGGAACAAAAAAGAATGAGCTCAGAAGAGGATGTATCCCTAGGAGGGTAATAGAAAATGTGGGAATGCCACACGTGCAGCTCGGCATCGACCTCACCACCACCACAAAAGAGGTGGCATGCGGATGACCGCTCAGTTGTTGAGAGAGATGGCCACCATGGCTGCAAACATGAAGGACATTGCTAGCCAAAACATGGCCATGAGAGAACTCATGGCCCAAATGCAGAGCCAATGAGGCTTCCCTATTCCTCCCTATGCACCCTAATGACATTACGACCAAGATGAGGAAGTCTAAAGCCAAAGGGCTATATCATCAGAATACAGCCGAGGCAGAAGCCCTATGGAGAGGGAAGTAGAAGTTGATGTTTCCTCCAATTATGCTGCAGGCCAACCTACCGAGGCCCGGTATAATCAGGACAACTTTCCATCAGCATATGAGCTAGAATAAAGACCTAGGAGGTCTAACAGCGTGTTTGACAGAATTAGCCCCGCGAAATCGAGGCACGGGCAACAGCAACAACACCAACGCGAGCGTCGAAATAGACCATAGCCCTCACTTCCAATGGCTCATCAGTCGAAGGAAAGGCATGAAAATGCTTTCCGTGCTGCTTTGCCTAGAAACATGTGCCAAAGGAAAGAATAGGAGGCTAGGACTCAAGCTGAACCCTCTCATCAGCCATCCAAGTAAGAGGCTGAAGAAAACAATGACTCGGATGAGCAGCAAATGTCCAGCGACTTGGACGATGACGATGACGATGACGATGAAAATCTCCCGTTTTCAAGGAAACTAAGAAATGCCCAGGTTTCGAGCCACTATGTGATGCCCAAAATACCAAAATATGATGGGAGAGGCAACCCGGAGAAACACCTAAGCGCTTATAAAACTCATATGACCCTTAGAGGTGCCACCCCAGCTATGAAGTATAGAGCTTTTCATTTGACACTTAGTAGAGCGACTGAAATTTGGTATAGTCGACTGCCACCTAAGAGCATAAAGAGTTGGCTAGAGTTTAAGAACACTTTTCTAAAAATGTTTGTAGTGAGGAAAGAGGGAGAAGTCCCTATCCAGCGCCTCCAAGACATGAGGCAGGTGCATGAAGAATCCCTAAAAAGCTTTTTATCACTCTTTACTAACGAAATGATGTACTACATGCAAGTTATCGATCATAAGGCTTTATCAGTCCTAAGAGGAGGTTTGAGTATGAACACTCTGTTTTGGAGGGACGTGCGAAACCAAGATCCCACCACTTATAACGCCCTGTTTGAAATGATGAGGTGGGAGATTATCAATGAGGAGCTAATTGAACGTAGGAATCGGGCCAGCAGAGGCCTCCCACCTCAATAGAGACAGTGCGCCAGGGGACCGACCTCCCACTTGATAAACCACCAGATGAACCCGCCTGGTAATGGAAATTCAGGGCAAGCACTTGTCACAACCACTTTGAATGCAGTCTCAACTTTGGCATATGAAGATGTCAATCCAACTGCTACCGACCCCTAAGTAGGAACTTCACAACAGGCCCTCCATAGAGAAAGAGGCCGGGGTGCGGTTCAGGGCCTAGGAATAGGCCTAATCAGAACCCCCTTATTATTGTACGTATCATCGCTCCTACGGTCATGACACGCCCGAGTGTCAAGAGTATGCATACCGCAACTGGCGAGAACACTCTCAAGATAGAAGGAATGAATCGCCACAAGCGAACAGAAAGAGGCCCCTATTCACGAGGTGGATACCATATTTGGAGGCCCTTACGTGAGAGATGAAACCTGGAATGCAAAATGAAACTACGCCCGAGAGGCTAAACACTTCCCGCTAACCAGTTATATCGTGGACAGCAGCTCCCGAAAAAACTAAGTACCACCCATTGTCTTCACCCAAGAGGACTTTGAAGGGGTTTACTACCCCTATTGTGATGTACTTGTAATAAGGATTGTTGTGGCCCGAAATGGGCTCAAGCGAATGCTAGTAGACAATGACAACTCCGTTAACATCCTGTTTAGGTCCACCTTAGATAAGATGATCGTGGACCACGAGCTAACGCCCACAACCACTCCTCTCTATGGATTTACCGGAGATAGTATCACTCTGAGAGGAAAAATAACGTTGGCGGTAGAGATAGGAGAGTCCCCCAAACCACCATAAACTTCATGGAATTCCTTATTGTAGACAGCCGGTCAGCTTACCACAGAGTCTTGGGTAGACCAGCCTTGAAGGAGTTAGGAGCCGTCACCTCCTCCACCACTTATGCATGAAACTCCGAACTGAGAATAGGGTGATAACAGTGAGAGGTGACCAAAGAGGATCCAGAGAATGCTACCTAAGCTCCATCAGAAAGGTTGAGCATCGAGACTTACATGCCATCCTGACTGATGTGGATATGACAGACGTCTTAAGTAAGGCCCCTCCTAAACGAGAGGATGTTGACATGATTGATGCACCTCCCGAGCAGGAAGAACTCTCCATGATTGATGAGATCAATCCTCGTGTGATTGAACATGAACCCCAAACAACTCTGGTTGAAGAACTAGAAAGCTTCCCGATCGACCCCCGTGACCCCGCGAAGGTGTTGAAAGTAGGCATAGGCCTGGGCAACGACATGAAAGAAAAATTGAAAGACTTTCTCTGCAAGAACCTTGACGTCTTTGCTTGGAGGCATGAGTACATGGTTGGCATAGACCCCAAGGTCAGCTGTCACCATCTACAGATAAATCCTGAGGTTGCCCCGCACCGACAGAAGAGAAGAGCCCTCAACCTAGAAAGGTATGAGGCTTTGAAAGAAGAAGTGCAGAAGCTAATCAAGAATGGCTTCATCAGAGAGGCTATCTACTCGAAGTGGCTCTCCAACCCGGTGCTAGTCAAGAAGCATAATGGTAAGTGGAGGGTATGTATCAATTTTACAAATCTCAACAAGGCATGCCCTAAAGACAGCTTTCCACTTTCGAGAATTGATCAATTGGTAGACTCCACGGCCCAGCATGAGCTCATGAATTTCATGGACACCTACTCTGGCTATAACCAAATACTTATGTATCCGGCCGATGAGGAGAACATCTCATTTCTCACTGACAGAGGCCTTTACGGCTACAAGATGAAGCCCTTTGGGTTGAAAAATGCCAGGACCACTCTTTAAACTCGTGAGTAGCAAGGACTCCAAACTACTTGCAATAGTACCAATTAAGCACCTGCTCACGCCATCAAATGAGGCACCTGAAGTGATGTGGGTCGAAGGAACCCCCACCTGGATGCAACCTATCATAGCCTACCTAAAGGACTAGATCCTACCCACTAACAAAGATGATGCCTACAAACTGAGAAGGAGGTCAGCTCATTTCCTCTTCATTGATGACAAATTCTACAAAAGAAGCTTCTCTTCCCCACTTCTTCGCTGCGTTGGGGGGAGACGAGGCCACCTACATTCTAAAGAAAATCCACGAAGGTGTTTGTGGAAATCACTCAGGAGGACTAGCTTTGACACAAAAGGTACTAAGGCAAGGGTACTACTAGCCCACCTTGAGAAAGGATGCGCTTCAATTCGTGCGCAAGTATGACAAGTGCCGACGATTTTCTCCCATTCAGAGGCAACCCTCATAGGAGCTAACGACCATCTCCAGCCCATGACCCTTCTCCAAGTTGGCCATGGACCTCATAGGTCCCCTACCTAAGGGCAGAGAAGGCGCGAACTTCACTATTGTGGCATTGATTACTTCACGAGGCCACCTACATTCTAAGGAAAATCCACAAAGGTGTTTGTGGAAATCACCTAGGAGGACTAGCTTTGACATAAAAGGTACTAAGGCAAGGGTACTACTGGCCCACCTTGAAAAAGAATGCACTTCAATTCATGCGCAAGTATGACAAGTGCCGGTGATTTTCTCCCATTCAAAGGTAACCCTCGTAGGAGCTAACGACCATCTCCAGCCCATGGCCCTTCTCCAAGTGGGGCATGGACCTCATAGGTCCCTTACCTAAGGACAGAGAAGGCGTGAACTTCACTATTGTGGCCATTGATTACTTCATGAAGTGGGTTGAGGCTGAACCACTAGCAAAAATCACAAAAGCAAATACCTCCAAGTTCTTTTGGAAGAACATCATATGTCGGTTCGAAATTTTTCACTCCATAGTTTCAAACAATGGAAGGCAGTTCCACAATAAGAAAGTTAGGACCTATGCGAAGAACTCAGAATCAAGAAGCACTTCTCAACGCCTCATCATCCTCAAGCCAATGGCCAAGTTGAGGTTGTAAACAAGACAATCAAACATGTCCTCAAAAGGAAACTAGATGTATAAAAGGGAGCCGGGTTGATGAGTTGCCTCACGTGCTTTGGGCAATCCGAACTACCACCAGAACTCCCACGGGGAAAACTCCTTTCCTCATGGCTTATGGCGCCAAAGCCATGAGCCCCGTCGAGGTCGGCTTACCATCACCGTGTCACCTTCACTTCAATGAAATAAATAATGATGAACTATGGAGATTCAACCTCAACTTCATTGATGAAAGAAGAGATGACTCCCAGCTGAGGCTCGCTACTTACCAAAGGAAAATGACCAAATACTTCAATTTCAAGGTGAATAAGAGGTCCTTCTGAATCAATGACCTAGTCCTTATGAGAGTCTTCCTTTCCTTCAAAGGACCGAGCGAAGGTACCTTGGGTCCAAATTGGGAAGGTCCCTATAGAGTCAAAAAAGAACTTCGACCCGACACCTACAGAATTGAAGACATGGATGGCAGGGCACAGCCTCGTCCATGGAACATTGAGCATCTCAGAATTTACTACCAATGAATGCAATGCATCGCTGGACGATCTTTCCAAGCTTATGTAATTGATTTTCAGCTTCAATAAAATGTCATTAAAATTTAGATACGACTCTCAAGATGTGGGAGCCTCAGAGGAGAGGTCCTGATTCCCAACTCTGGGGGTCACCTCGCCTGAACTTCGAGGCTCACTCCACATGCCTCCCTTTGGCGAGGCTGAACGCCAAAGAGAGAAGCCTCTACATAACTGCACCATCCATCATAGAGAAGCGTGGGAACCTCAGAGGAGAGGTCCTGATTCCCAACTCTGGGGTCACCTCACCTGAACTCCGAGGCTCACTCCATATGCTTTCCTTTGGTATTGGCGCGACAGAATGCCAAAGGGAGAAGCCTCTACATGACTGCAGCATCCACCATGTAAAGAAGCATGGGAGCTTCGAAGGAGAGGTCCTGATCCCCCACTCTGGGGTCACCTCGTCCGAACTTTGAGACTCAATCCACATGCCTCCCTTTGGCGAGGCAGAATGCCAAAGAGAGAAGCCTCTATATAACTGCACCATCCACCATGTGGAGAAGAGTGGGAGCCTCGGAGGAGAGGTCCTGATTCCCAACTCTGGGGTCACCTTGCTCAAACTTCAAGGCTCACTCCACATGCCTCCCTTTGGCAAGGCTGAACGCCAAAGGGGAAAGCCTCTACTGGCTGCACCATCCACCATGTAGAGAAGCGTGGGAGCCTCGGAGCAGAGGTCCTGATTCCAACTCTGGGGTCACCTCGTCGGAACTCCGAGGATCACTCCACATGCCCCTTTTGGCGAGGCTGAATGCCAAAGGAAGAAACTTCTACATGCACATCCCATCCACCATAGTTTTACATCCCTAATTCGAACTCAATGGAAAGTTCCAGTCAAATAACCTATTCAGTTTACATTGAATACTTTATTCGACTTGGACATCATGGTTTATTTCAAGTGATGGAACTTAAGTGCAACCCATTAAGTCATCATTTATATAGCTTGATTATTAACTCATCCTTAAGCTTGATTATTACAAGTGATGGGAGTTAAGATGTCAAGTTCAGATTGTTAACTCGGACTTACGCTTGATTATTTATCGAGGTCCATGTACTTGATATTGAACATAAGACATAATGTTGCAAAATATTGACTTTCATTGACATTGAATATGCTATTACAAGGGGAACCTGAGGCCAGTATATCAGAATGAATTGAAAGTAAACTATGCTACTTAGGCGGATAGTGGTTGTGCCTCGGCAACAGGTGCCTCCGTAGCTTGAGTTTCAGAAGTGTCTGCTTCCTTATCCTCGACCGCTACATCACCGATTACTTCCTCAGCAGGCATCTGAGGAACCCCATCAACAAACTCTGACTTCAGTTGTGATAGGTCGACATTTGGGAGAAGCTCCTCAGCCCTATCCAGCACTTTAGCATAGGCAAAGTTCCTCCAATACAACCAGAAGCGTCGATACTCTTCGATGGGATGGAAGTTGGCAATGTAATCCTTAGCTGCCTCCTCCTTCACCACCTGGGCATCTTCCCTTGCCCTTTTTAGCTCATTGACACGCCATTTTATTTGGCCTTCCAAAAATTGGTATGCGTCCTTGACCCCGGTCAGCTCTAAATTGGCCTGTTCCAAGGCCTCAGCTGTCACCCTCTGGTGATTATTAGAAATCTCCACTTTCTTAGCAAGGGAGACCACCTCACATTGAGACTTGTACACTTCTTTCTTCAAAGCCTCCATTTGAGCCAAGGTGGATTCCAATTTTGTAGCATTTTCAATCTTTTGGGCCTTCATCTCCTCCGTCTCAGCCCTTATTTTCTTCAGTTCCTTTTTAGTGGAGGCCAACTTGTCTCTGAAGGACTTATTCCTCGTCTGAAAGTTGATGAGCATTTCTCTACACTCAAGTGTAAGGCCTAAAGTCCTCACACTTTGGCTCACCAAAGCCCTGGTGAGGTCCACCGCATCGCAGCTTGAGGCATGTATTTGCCACTAGTCAGCTTAGAACTTGTAAACACTTTTTGTGGCGGCTCAGACCTCAGCAGGCAGTGTATCTAACAAAGTCGGTGCTAGCACCTCTTTACATCCCACTAGAAAATTTGGGGGACTTCTCTTGAGTCATGGTTGGCCTCTACTTAGCCACCTCCTCCTCGATTTCTTCTACTGCCCTCCTGGCAGCTTCCTCCATGGCCTCCTCAGCCTCAGCTTTCCTTACCATTTCAACTTTCACTTCTTCATGGCAGAGTCTAACAGCTTTAGCTGAGGAGGGGCATCCTTGCTTGAATGGGACACTAATGTCCCGAACTTTCCGAAAGAACTGATGACATGAACCAGCCTCCTTTTCTTGTGGGAGTCCTCAAGGACCTTTTCTTTGCCCCGAGGCTTCTTCGCCTTTTTAGACTTTTGGGAGGCCTCCTTTCTGGACCCCGTAGAGGTTCTATCCTTGGCCCCTGACCTCCTTCACCTCACCCGAGCTCAACTTCAGAGCCCTCGCTTTTGCTGTGGAGGTGGCTCTCAGAATTGAAGCCATGTTTGGGACGAGGTACTCCCTTTTCTTAACTTATCTACGAAGACACAATAGGTCAGCACTGAATATCAATCAAGTACAAATTTGATCAAGTGGACACGTTTCTTTCCCTTGGAAGCCATCAGTTCGAAATCTACGAAGTATCGACTTCAGTGGATGAGGTGGTCGAAGTGGCGAAGCTTCAAGGACCGCTTATATATGTCCTCTATAACCTTGAACTCCCTTTTGCTAAACTCAAACCTCGTACTAGAATTTACAAAATAAGTAACAAAAATTAACAGAAAAAATTGAGAAACTTAGCAAAATGTAAACATTTCAAGCTTGGACACTCACGAGCTATGTAGTACTGGGTCGATACTATGCAAGCCACGACCTTGTCCTCCTCAACCGCTTGCCACTTTTTCTGAACCTAGAACTATGACTCCTTCCATCCTTTGATGGAAGAAGGCAGCCCCACCACGAAGGGTGCGTGAGCTCCCTAGGGTATGATGTAATACCATCCCTTCGACTCATCTTTACCTAAGACGCGAGGCTGAAAAAGGGTCTGAAAGATGTGCAAAGGCATATCCTCTCCTAACGACACTTCTTTCCACAAGAAGTACGACCCCACTAGCTGTCTCCATCCATTCGGTAGAACCTGAGTCGGTGACAATATAAAATTCCTAAGCACAACCCTAAAGAAGAGGTGCAGAAGAAGATGCATACCTGCTTTGAACAAGTATTCACTTACAGCCACACATCCAGGCCTCGAAAAATAAGCCCTTTTGTGGGCCTCGGGAACTAACATCTCCACGTAATGAGGGACGTAATATTTCTCTCTAATTTCCTCAAACTTCTTCAAGGTCATGTTTGATGCTATCCTAGCAGCCCCCATTCTTCCTCATAATCTATAGGCTCCTCGATCATAACATAAGACTCTACCTCGAAGTCCTCATTCAGAACAGCCCTCTTACCCAACCTAGCTATGGTCACCAATTCCCTACCCGAAGTGGACTCCATATCAAAAAGTTTGAAAAATTGACAAAGATCGCAAAAGAAATGATTCTCGCAAGAAATACATACAGAAATGACTAACAAACGAGGAATTGCGAAACGCCGGAGTTTGAAATAGGAGCAAGACTTTGGACGTCAGAAACTTAAGGAAATACAGAGAACACAAAAAATAAACGATGAAGAAAGGTTCAAAATGAGAGTCTTGGCCTTTTATAGAAAGTCAAGACGAACCCCAGCCCTTGGATGAAGGCCTCATAAATCTCAGCCCTCCAATTCTGGGTTAAATCCAAAGCGTAGAATTCAAATCTTTTTGAAATCTACATCTCCAAGTCGGACGTGCCCTTCACATACCTCTCTAGGTGCATTTCCTTCTAGAAGCCCCAGCTATAGCCATCATTGCACATTTAATGTAGCAGCCGTACGTGCCTTGGAAGTCGAAACGGTTTGGCTGTATTTTCTTGGTAACATGCGCAAAACATCAAATCATTGGCACACCCATGGAAGGCTATCATATTTTAACTAGCCTCGGCTTCTTCAGCTTCTTCGCAGTTTAGCCACATCTTCACAAGCCTCGGCAGGTTTGATTCACTCACCACCTTGGCTTCTTCTACTTCTTCGCAGTTCAGTCACATCTTCACAAGCCTCGACAGGTTCGATTCACTCACCGCCTTGGCTTCTTCTACTTCTTCACAGTTTAGCCACATCTTCACAAGCCTCGACATGTTCGATTCACTTATGGCTTTGACTCCTTCCGCTTCTTCGCAGTTCAGACACATCTTCACAAGCCTCGGCACATTCAATTCACTCACCGCCTTGGCTTCTGTTGCTTCTTCACATTTCAACCACATCTTCACAAGCATCAGCAGGTTTGATCCACTCACCGCCTTGACTTCTTCGTCACCCTTTTCAATTACAACAACACTACAACAGTCAACTTCACGTGCCAATCTGAACACCACCACTTTCAACTCCAGCCATGATATAAATATCTATATTTGGACTTGGAGACTTAGTTAAGGTACAAAAAATTCTTTCAAATTTTACTGCATAGACGCTTCACCACAATAAATGTCCACGCATTACAAAAACGACCATACTTGGACTTGGGAGACTATTGTTACGTGTTGACACACTTGGCCGACCGACTAGGGCCCATTGCCCACTTCTACTGAACCACGTGGCATCTTATCCAAGGCCCCAGAGCAACAGGAGTTGACCAACATGCTATAACAACGCCAGACGTGGCCCAAGTACTGACATCAAAGCTAATATGTCGAGGTGATCTTGTACCTGAGGCCCTTCCCTCCGATACTCTCCGAGGTCCTGAGGCTTTAAACAGCACTCTTCCGCAGAGATCCGATCTTACACAAGGATCATTTCTGATTGATTAATGGGACACCCATCAGAGTGCAAATGTCTTATCTTGTCAATGTAGTGGCAGAGCCAGCGATTAATAAATATATAGCAGGTTAGGAAGTTAAATGTGATACCTATATAATTTGACATATAAACTTACGAGACGAGGCCACGTGT